CCCGTGGCCCCACCACTTCTGGGTCCCCAGCCATGGCTCTGGCGGGGCTAGGCTGCTCCGCACGGCCTGAGTGAGGGGATCCCGCCACCCCGTGGTGAGAGAAAGTGGGTGGTGGCACTGCTGCCCACCTGGGACGCCTGATCACAGTGTTGGCTGGAAGTACCAGACAGTGACGGTCACCCTGGGGGACAAGAGGAAGGAGAAGGCCAGGATGTCCTACGGGAAAAAGAGACAGCTACGAGGCCCCAGAAAGAGGCCGAGGAGAACATGGAGAAGGAGACACAAACACAGAGGTCAAGACTGCGGACTCCTGGTCTGAGCCCAGTAAGGACTGTTTACGCCTCAAAATAAATAAATAAGTAAAATGAATAAAAACAAGAGAGACAGAGTGAGAAAGTGAGAAATCCGCCCCCCCCAGGGGAGAGGACCACACCAGTCCCTTCTTCATTCTCTTCTTGTGGTCTTGGGCACGTATGCCTGGCATGAGTGTTAAACCACCGGGTCCGGGACTCGAACACAGTTAACTACCTGGGAGTCCAGCGACATAACCATTATGCCATCTGCTGGTCCCCTTTTACTTTTAATCTGACCAGTTGTCCTTCTCTGGCAGCGGACCACCTGCACGTCTTTCAGGCCTGGGGCGTATTTCTTTTCTATTAAGAATCAAGCTTTTCAATTTAAACTTCTCTTTTTCTACTTTACATGTTTTTCATTTGGCATCTCAGGGAGGGTATCTAATCTAAGAGATCTGGACTCAGAGAATCCAGGGTGCCACACAAGGCAGCTCAGCTCCATGTCAGTAGCCACGGAGGTGCAGATTTAGCTTTGACAGGCTGTCCCTTCCCTGTTACGGTTGCAACACGCCGCTGCTGGAGGGATGCGGGGGGACCTGGGTGCCCTTCCCTGTTACGGCTGTGACATGCCGCTGCTGGGGGGATGCAGGGGGACCTGGGCGTCCCTTCCCTGTTACGGCTGTGACACGCCGCTGCTGGGGGGATGCAGGGGGACTCAGGTCAGTCACAGAAAACTGGAATAGTTTGGTAGCTTCTTACAAAACTACACACTCGTCACTTGCACATGTCGGGAGGTCAGATCTGAGCGGCACAGATGGGATGTCTCTGCCTCTGTGTCGAAACTGCAAAGTGGCTGGTGTGGGTTAAAGGAAGCTTTGTGCTAATCAGAAAAGCCTGAGAAGGTAAAACTCGCATAGGACTACATGGCACCAGGCGTTTTCACGTCTTCAGCCGATTAACGATGGAAAATAACTGGCTTTGGGGCCAGCAGGTTGCGGGGTGGTTAAGGGCGCTGGACTCCCACATGCAGACCGTGGTTCGACTCCCGGACCTCACAGCTTGCTTTCTCACTTTTCTCTCTCTCTGTCCCTTTCTGGGCAAATTAAAATAAATAAATGAATAAGGTTGAGTAAAATAATTCTTAAAAAGAAAAGAACTGGCTTTGCATCCCACCTCCCTCCCCTGCTGCCTCGGAAGAGTCTGGACCACCTGACCCCACTCACCTCTACCTGTGTCTTTGCCGGAGAGGTTTTTATTTATTTATTTTTCACTATAGGGTGCGTTGCGTGTGCTCGCCTGACAGAGAGAGACAGAGAGACAGAAAGCGAGAAATCACCTCCCCAGGGGGATGGCCACGCCGCAATCCCTTCTCCTCCATTCTCCTCTCGGGATCTTGGGCATGCACGCATATGCGCCTGGCATGAGTTTAAGCCACCGGGTCTGGGACGCGAACCGCGGTTGACTATGTGGGAGTCCAGCGACATAGCCATTACGCTAACTGCTGGTTCCCTTTGCGGTTTATCTTTATCTCCAGTCCACGCTGCTCCCACTCAATGGTGTTGGCCATGTGGGACACAGCAACGCGCTCCTCGGCACTTACCCAAGAGAAATGAGAATTTCTGTGCCACAAAACCCACTACCCAGAAAGTCATAGTAGCTCCCAAACTAGACCCAACCCAGACCTCCCTCAGTGGGAGACATTAAAGAAATGGGGACACCCATACAGTTGAACCATCCTCAACAAAGAAAAGGAGCAAACGATTAATAATTGACATCATTGGGACCAGCAGGTGGCATAATGGCTATGTCACTGGACTCCCATGTAGTCGACCGCAGTTTGAGTCCTGGACCCGGTGGTTTAAACCCACACTGGGTGCATGTGTGTGCGTGCCCAAGATCCCGAGAGAAGAATGGAGGAGAAGGGATTGCGGCATGGCCATGCCCCCCTGGGGGGTGATGTCTCACTTTCTGTCTCTTTCTAGCGAGTGCATGTGCCCTGTAGCAAAAAATAAATAAATAAATAAAATAAAAATTAACATCATTCTGGGGACCAGCATGTGGCGTGGTGGTTGAGGCTGGACTCCCATGTAGTCGACCGCGGTTCATGTCCTAGACCCGGTGGCTTCAAACTCACGCTGGGCGCGTGTGCGTGTGTGCCCAAGATCCCGAGAGGAGAATGGAGGAGAAGGGATTGCTGTGTGGCTATCCCCCCTGGGGGTGATTTCTCGCTTTCTGTCTCTCTGTCTCTCTCCATCTGGCGAGCACACGCATCTTATAGCAAAAACCTCTAAAAATAATAATAAAGTCCATCACAAAAGGCCACCTGCTGTATGAGTCCACTTTTTTCAAAGAATTATTTTATTTAATTTCATTATTAATTTTTTTGGTCTGACGTGAGAGTGAGAGAGAGAAAGAGGTGAGAAAGCAGTCCGCCAGGTCCAGGGCTTGAACCATGTCGCCCATGTGGGAGTCCCGCACCCTAATCACCATGCCACCTGTTGGCCCCATGATTCTCTTTTGTTTTTTGAGAGAGGTTTTGGCTATAGGGCGCATGTGCTTGCCAGACAGATAGAGAGAGACATAGAGACAGAAAGCGAGAAATCACCCCCCAGGGG